AGAATGAATTGTGCCAGAACTACAAACTCCAGGCACTCCTTGCAGCTCCCTGCAAAACAGCTGCATTTGCTACTCTTGGATACTCTTAGACAATCCAGAGCATTCAGCCAAGATTATGGTAATCCCGAAGCACTAGCATTACTTCCTAGCAATTATTCATCTTTCCCCCAAAGTACCTTGAATGTAATTTGCAACAAATGCTTTTGTCTCACAATTTCATCTTTACAAACTTTCCTGAATTAAAAGAGTTCATCTCAACTGGTATTATCAGTCTGCAGAATTCAATATATTTTAATTACGAGGATGGGCGAGAGTTTAGCCTACCTAGTTAATGACAAAATATTATGTTCTCTATTTAATTAGGACACATTAAAAGGTTCGTATTTAAATCCTGTTCAATGTAAGGGTGAATGTTACAGCATAACTAGATTATTCCCTATAAATTACATTATGCAGCGTTACACATTGAGATACAGAAGGAAGAGAAACAGAGGCTCTGGGTACTATTTGGCAGCTGGCTGTTGTAGCATAGCAGATTTCAATGTCCTGCAGATGGCTATAGCAGTAGCATTCACGTGCTTCATATGGCATGGCAGGACCTCCTGTCCTTGCAGAGATGACAAGAGTGCAAATTATACCTACTGAAAGCTTCCCAAAGTCCAGGGCCGCTCCAGCTAAGATTTGGTGTTATAAACACTATAAACAGGAGCCAGAGGTGCTCTCCCCTTCTGCAGCCTCTTCTTGGTTGTTGCAGTAGCCCATGCTCCTGCTAGTGGTTGTTCACATCTGGCCAGGACACAGGGGCATGCGTTGAGCCACTGGTATTGCACATCCACTGTGGTTGTGGATTTTAGTATAGTGCTAACTCCCGATCCCATCCTCACTTTTATGGATCACTTTATCTTAAAGACAGAGAGGTGCTAAGCTCCTAGGTAGACTCCTGGATGCAAGCACAGAGAACCAAAGGACAAACAGGCTTTTAAATCTTGAGAGTGCAAAATATATTTGGTAGGGGAAGGAAAACTACTTGTTGGGGAAGGAAAACAATGATGCCTTACAGGCTAGTTGCAATATCCAGTCCAGGAAAGCCCAGTGACCTGCAAGCCAAGCAGGACTTATTTCTCTGCTCACTGCCAAGAGCTCTTTCAGATTATGAAGTCTCTCCTACTTGGCTACTTCCTATGACTTTCAGAAACCTGATTTTGCCTGTTTCAAATGGTCTCAGAGCAAAGAGATTTCTTAAAGCCTTCCACTGTTTTTTTTCTCTTATACAAAGCATGCATTTTAATCTCGTTATGTTTTAAGATCTCTACCAGGAAAGCAGAGAGTGATAGCAAGAAGTTGTCTTCACTCTCTTACATTCTTCTCTTCGTGCTTTCAACATGTCAAAATATTACCCCTTTGCTACCAACCTCCGCAGGGGCTGCCCAAGTGATCTCCAAGTGATTTAAATGGTGCTAACTGCAAAAGAGCAAACCCAGGAAGGTGATCAACTGGATAAAGAGCCTGGCCAAAATATTCAGCAGTGCCTCCTGGAAATTGAGCCTCCAGAGCTTCCCAGCACTTGGTGAGCTATGGCTCCACAGTCTGGCTCAGCAAAAAATCCCATCTCTATTACTGAAAATTAGGTCCCTTCCTATTTCATTGCGGCTCTTGCCTCCTTTTCTTGCGCTTATCTCAAAAGTTGTGCTTTGTACTGTCTCTTATACCTTCATATGTCTCTTTATCAATCCTCTTTTAAGACAGTGAAAGACAGTGACTACTCATAGATTAGCAAATTTCTTGCTCTGAACAGCATCCTCTTTCATCCGTCATTGTCACTCTCCCCAAGATTAATAAGAAAAAGACATTTATAAGGCAGAATGTTGAAAGCAGAGATGAGCTTGGTACAAAGGATAGCAATTGTAAGGGGTTTTTTTTAGATCCACATTGATCCCAATACCTGTAGAGACTTAAAAATCTTTTCTGAAAGTGGCCGCACCTTCATTACACAACGAAGAAAAGCATATCAAGATTCAAATTCAGGCAGCATTCGGTGTTTGCACAAGGCAAGCCGGGGGATGATTTCTTAGCTCTTTCTGACCATGATAGGAGTATAGAGTTTCATCTTGCATCAGTCAGGACCAAAAAAAGAACTTTTTTCTTAAATAGGAGAAGAGGAGGGGACACCAAAAAGAGATGGGGGAAAAGACAGCTCAAGGGACAGTGTATATATAGATGAGTCTGATTGTGGAAGGACCTTAGTGTCACCTGTTTCAGAGGAGTAGGGAAGGGACCAGCACTTAGCATCATCAGCAAAAGATTAACACTACTGCATAATTACAGAGTACTCAGTGTATATTCAGCCCTTGTGTGTTTTTCTGCTACACTCCACTCTAACTATACGAGAGTCTGTGGACACAAAAGAATCTGTGGTTTAAGTACCTGCAGCTGCTGCAATAAGCAACAACAGGAATGTATAGATACGTGGAGGCACATACACCCACACTTTGCTAATTGGCAGGAGCACTGTTTAAGGAGTTGAATTAAAAGCAGTACAGGTTTTCCCATTTTCCTAAACCGGGAGCCTCTTCTTTAAAGTTCCCATCTCTTAATGTTTCTCAGCCTGTTGCTCTATCATCTGGCTCCTCTTACATTTCATCCGTCCCTCCTGGTGCTTCTTCTTTTTCTTGCATACATGCAGCTAAAGAGAAAGAGCATTTGCTTTGTCCTGCTGTTCTTTTCTCACCACCCTCCTCAGCTCTGAGGCATACAGCAGCTCTGCATCAATTGATGCATTCACTGTCAAGCATTGAAATTATGGTTTCCTAACACACTAGTGTTCTTCAGTGCTTTACAATGACAACCAAGACTTAAAAAAAGAAGAGCAGAATCCAGAATTTAAGAATGAGTAGCTGGCACAATCTGGGGCATTTATTTCATTTTCAGCTTGCAAGAGAAGTGACAAAATAAAAGAAGAAGAACAAGAGAATACAGACATTTTAAGATGTCACTTTGTTCACTGCTACAGGTATTTGTTCACGACTCAGTGGGTGAACACTTGATGGCTTCAGGCTCTTCTGGAGTTTTGGTTGGGGTCTTTTTGTTTGTTTGCTTTTGAATAACAGTTCCACTCCAAATGTGCAAAGCTTTCCCAATGCAGAGTAGGCAGGGTTGTCTTCATCACAGAAGTTAGTACTGGAGAAATGACCATGACAAGAGCTCTTGGATGTTAATCGCATGGGAAATAAAGTCCACACCTAGTTCAAAATTTGGTCTTGGCACTTAGGACCACTCATTCAGGAGTCACATAGTACCCAAAGGCATCAGAGTCTCGGCCCACTCCTTTGCACTTCTAAACAACACATCTCAGCAGATTTTATATCCTTCCTGAAATGTTTTAGCATTAATTTAAAAAATCCCAGACTATCTATCTGCCCCTGTTCTCTCTCTCTACACTCAAAGCTTATTGGGATCCAAGAGAACTTGTGAGCACATGAGCAAACCCAGGCTCTATCTTGCATATCTCCTCAACACAGACTGAAGTGCACTACTTTCCGTATTGAGAGCTTCTGAAAAAGCACTGATGGGTGGCACCCAGCTCTATGACCATATATCCAGCATTAGTTAGCACAGTATTTCCTGGCAGGGCCTGCAGGTAGTGGGGGATACATAAGAGTTGGTTAAATACAAGCTAGCAGTGCCCTGGGTTTGGCATCTTGGGCAGAAAGAGCGTGGCTGGAGGAAACCGCTCCACTTTAGCTTACACTAACAAGTATCAGAGACGTTGTCTGACTTTGAATCTTCCTGACTGCAGGGTGTGCTGTGTACATACTGCAAGATGGGGGGAAAAAGGACAGACACATATGATCCTCAGCTGGTAAATGTTTAGCGGCAGGCACTGTATATGCTGCAGGATGCAGTGTCACGGTATATAGAGCTGCTGAAATCTATCGTCATGCAGACAGCAAGTGATAACATGCACCATGTGGCACAGTGGGTGTCTACTCCATGGACAGAATTTGCAGGCGTTGCCAGAGCTGAAAAAGCAGCAGAAAAGACTGGAATGAAAATGATGGGGTCACTTAACTGGGAAGGGTAAAGCACTGCAACACCTCATTTTGAAAGGATTCAATTTTAATGCTCACAACCACAGCAGAAAATGTTGGACAGCAACACACAGAAATCTTTGGGGAGTTCTCCACTTTTGAAGCCAGACACAAAGCTGAGAGACAGGCTTTATGATACGGGGATAGATACTTGAATTTTGAATGTTGAACCATATTTTAAAAAAAAAAATCAAAACAAAACAAAAATAACAGCCTGAAGGACTGAGAGGAACAGCCTTCCTTTCCCATCAAATCTACAGGCTGAAGATGATGATTCCAGGCCAGGGTTAAAAACCAAACAAAAAGCAGATGTATCATCATGCCTGTCAGCTGTTGCAGAGAATCATGGGGAATTTATGTTCACTTGTCTTTAAAGAGGTCCTATCACACTCATCACCATGGCAGGCATCCATGGTGTCATTGGGTGGGTCAAGCAGGAGGATGTTTAACTGTTACACTAAGTTGTAAAATCCTCAATAATCAGCAATGGAAATAGAAAACCAAATGTCTTTCTCTAGTAGTCCAGCATCAGAATAGTTGGAATAATGGACCTAAGGTAGGTGTTTCTAAGGATGTGTGGCTGTGAACAAAAGAAGCAATGTTGTGCGGGACCACTTTCACCTCCTTTCATCTCCTCTGCTATGGTGGTGTCTGGATCTAACCATCTAGTAACTAACCAATATTTGATCCTATGTGGAAATGGGGAGAAGGAGATGGAGAAGCTGGGGAGAGGACGGCCTTCCAATGAACCATCGAAAGTATTGGCTAGGAATTAGTTTGTACGAGTTGGAAAAACAATCAGTGTGGATGCTACAAAATACATGGAAAGAAAGATGGTTAGGTGGATGATCTGAGATCCCCTCTCCTTTGTGGTGCCAGAAGCAATAAGATTGCAGATTGGAGACAGTTCTTCTATGCAGTGTTTCCATTGTCAAACTGTCTGTAGTGGAAGAGACTCCTGGAGTCCAATTTCCCAGAGTATTTGATAGCTTCAGCAAAAAGCTTTGTCACCTGTCAATATAAAGCAGAGGAGGACTGAGCATTGCAAAGCCTTCTGCAGAAGGTTGAGTACTAGAGCAGGTGCTGCACTTCTGCGCTGCCACGCTGAAACTACCCTGTGCAGGTCCAGTCCTTGAGGCCATCAAAATCAATAACAATTTCAAGATGACTGCGCATGGGTGTTAGCTCCAGCCCTCAGCCTGCCCGCCCAGCTGGGGAGTCGTAGAGATTCTGGGCTGCTTTGGCAAGACAGCTCAGTCCCATGAGAGCTGTTGTTCCTCCCCTACAGCCCAGGCCTTGAAGAGAACACAGAGTTGTTTTCCTCTCAAACTCAGAGATTAAAACTTCCCAATGAAAAAGGGTTCAATGAAATGTATCAAGCAGATGTGGTCATACGTTTTGGATGGGGACTCCTGTTCTGGCTCTCAGTGTGTGTTTTGCTAGTGGGTAAATTATGGGTCCTGCTAATCATGACTGGTGTTATCCTGCCTATGAACTTACAGCTTGGCATTCCCTCTGCTCTCCAATCACAGCAGAAGATTTGGCACAGCTGGACACCAGTTTGAGTCACTGGGCTCCATGTCAGCCCCCACTGAAATCAATGGGAATTTGGCTGTTGTGCTTAATGAGAGCCAGATGAGGCTCCTTAGTGACAGTTGAAGCCACTTGCAAAGGAAGTCAAGGTACTGCTGGCAGCAGGAGTCCCACTTTGCGTTACCAAATATTGGGGTTTGCCAGGAGCTACAAACACATAATGACTGGCAACCGGGGACTACAACAGGACAGGCAGCAATTCCACTTGGATGGCACTTTGAAACTGGATTGCCCCAAGGATCATTCAAGAAAGCTCAACTACATCCTGCTATACTATTTAAGGACCATGCTGGAAAATGGACCGTGCTAAAAAACTGTTCCCACACATAATTTAAACATGTTATAGGCAATCCTGTACAAGATGTCTGCTCTGAAGTGACAATGATACAGCAACAACTTGAGCTGCAGTAAAGGACTCAAGATTTTCTTTTTCAATGTTTTTTTCTACTTTGACCGATGTTATTTTGTACAGTAGCAAAAAGAGAACACATTCAAACAATCGTGGTGCCTCGATTTTCAGGCACATTATCACTTGTCAAAGATAATGAGGGTTCAAACACACTGGAATCTAGGGTCACAAGTGCTTGAAAGCTCTGAAGGCTCTTATAAATAAGAGGAGAAAGAACAACATGGGAAGTACCTGGAAATTAGTGAGCAGAGCAATCCCACTGTCAATAGCCATCCTCCGGATCACATAATTGTCATGGACAAACTTGGTGTTGCTGTTAGGCAGGTTAATCACCAGATCTATTTTCCCATCCCTTACCAGCCTGAAGGGACAATGGACAAGACAGTATCACAATGTGTCCTGTTTAATGAAAATCCATAATGAATAGCACAGGCATGCAGGTAAACAACACTGAAAATTTTCATTTGAGTTTAATCTTACAACCCAATTAAAAAAAAACAGTTGAGGTGTTAAGACCTTAAGCTGCAACTTAGGAATTTGGGCTTTATTTCTGTTCTATGTAGTGATGCAAAGGAATATTCAGCCTTCATACAGCTCAGTACAACTCTGTTAAAGGCAGGACCGACTGTCATTAAAGGCTAAATATTCAGATCTCACATATCCTTGCATGAAAATGTAACATGGAGCAATATATCCAAGCCACACTAAATGAGTGAACTGTTCATTAACTAAGAAGAAACCTCCTTGCTGTGGCAATCCCAGACAGAATCAAGAGAAAACAAAACTTTTTGATTAAGTCCAAAGTCCTGTTAAATCACTGTCATTGATCTCAACAGGCCCCTTGTTATCCCAGATGTTAATACAAATGTGTCAAGGTGAGTATTGCTCCTACCTCTTGATCGGAGGGAGGCTCCAGCTCTGGCTTTCCTGCGATGGCCAGGCCACAGCAGTTGCCGGGATACCATTAGCGTTGAGCCAGTCTGAGGTTGCTTGTGTGGCATAAAGCTGTTAAGGGGGAAAATAAAAAGTTATTTACTGTGTGCTTCATTATACAGAAACTTTTGATTTAACTCATGTGGGTCTAACCCAAGACACAGCCTGGTTGTCAGAGCTGGTTTGGGAGGGTATTTTTCACCATATAGAGACACACAGAGAACAACATGACTTTCCCAACTTTCCGTTATCTGTGATATGCTGATGGATGATAGTCAATGAACGGTAGTAACACATCCAGAAGCAGTTAAGTGGCTTAGGAAAAACTAAATCCCTCTGACTTTCAATACGGCTTAAGTTCAATCACTTACAAAAAAAATTTTTTTGAAAGGCAAAGCTGCAAATCCAGTAGTTACACTAATGCCACTGAGGAAAACAATACTTAAATACTTTACATCTCAAAGCTCTTGTCAGTCTTCTGTGACTGTGTTGTTAGTTACTTTTCATTCAAGATCTGGATGCAAAATGATGCAGGAGAGTTACAAGAGGGATGTAAACATCACAAATTTCATGTGTCTGCAGCTTGTGAATATCACTGAAGATGAAGCACTGCATGAAGGCTTCTCCTCCTTCCTGTCCTGTCATACATGGCATCCTGTTGGCATGCAGAACTTGAAGGCATTTGGAGATTTCTTGGAGAACTTAGAGGTATGTATAATGTGACATCCTGGCTGCAGGCTGATAGCAGAGCTAGGGTTTTTCTTGCCATCATGACTGTCCTGTATGTTCAATTAAGCAATCATGTAAACGTTTAATTGGGTGATACTTGCTGACTTTATGGATCACTCAGCTGAAAATGAAGCACCACGTTGTACTTCAAAAATGTTCTTTTCTCTCTCTCCAAATAAACTCCAATGTTCCCCGTTCCTGTGGCAGGCTCAGTACAGTTTAGATACTGATAACTCCCTAGTTTTAAATAACTGAAACCACCTACCTTAAAACCTTCCTCATGCAGTAGTTCTGCTACACTGAGGAATCTGGAGCGGAAGGACTTCTGAAAAAGGAAATTTATTAGGTACAGCATCAAAGCTAGGATTTAGAAACAGTGTTTTGTTTGGCAACACAAGGCTCTTCCAGATTGTGCTAGGAGGCAAACACCCCTTTCTGTGCTAAGAGCATGTGTGCATGCGCGTGTGTGCAGAAATGTCTGAATGTGCACAAAGAGTGCCATTCCAAGAAAACTGTCTGCATCCCAAAGATCGAGTCACTTCCAGCTAAGACATATTTTGTTACAACACCAGCATTAAGTGTTCCCAAACTAAGCTTGACTGCAACTACAGAAGACTTACTACTGCATATTAATTATCTGGGCAATTGCCTTCTCAAGTACACTAACTAGAGCCTCCTCTGTTCTTGATCAAATATATTTTCAATCATTGCTCAAACTTTCGGCCTTCTCTTCTGACAGATAACATATATAGACAGGCTTTGGGCTGCCTTTGGATGCTCTGTTTGCAAGTTTACATGAAGAAGAGCCTGCGTACGCGTGAATTCATTTCAAACTCCCACAGGCATATGGAAATGTAAAGCACAAAACTACTCAGGAGACTGGGACACCCTATTCCTACAAGGACCTGAGTGCCCAGGTACTTATGGCACCTTTGAAAGTCTCTCTAATAATGCACACCCAGATCCAACACAATTTAGAAGAAGTAAAGACAAGACACCCTCCTGTAGACACGTGCACTTGAGCAAGCTGCTTTAGAGCAACGAGTGAGTAAAAATTTGATCCCAGCCTAACTTTCGCTGCAATGCTGAAGGTGCAGCAGTGTAAAGATCAGATGCAACACATGACCCTCTCACTGCCAAGGCAGGCCAAACTTTGCCCTTAACTTTAGCCTGGTCTGGCCATTTGCAAGTGAGGTTTCTGCAAACTCCCTCATCCCTGCTGGAAATACTGCTAGCTTAACCTTTATGGGAGAGAGAGCAATATTCTGAAGAGTGAATGATATCCTGTGAGGTAAAGGAGTCAACAGGTTTTTTTCAAGTACTCTGGAAAGAACTTCATTCTGAAAGCCATCTCGTTCTGTACACTAACTGGAAAATATAAATATACAATGTGACAGGGTTGGCAGCTTCCCAGTCAGAGAGAACGGTTCTGCCTTCTGGTCAGAGGGGTTGGCTTTCACAACAGTATTATAAACTTCTATCAAACATGTACTGAACACTTGTGACACATAAAACAGCCTCTCCATGGAAAGAAATTACAGCTGTCAGCTTTCATGGGAGCAGCCTCAGATTTACAAGCTGGCTGAAAGAATCTATGTAAGAAACCATCAGTTACTAAAGGTGAAAAGTACAAGCAGATTTATTTAGTTGAAATATTTATTGTAGGAGAATTGTATTCTTTTGCCTTTATCGGAAAAGTTCTACTTCTTATAACCTCCCTCTCATGGTTGCTAGAACACCTTGCTATTTGTAAAGGGCTACATCCTCAGTTAATCCAATACAGCTACACCAGTTCTCACTAAGATCCATCTCAAAATGAAGCCAGCTCATCTTCTGTGATAATCTTGAATTCTGTATCCAAATCCACCGTGGAGCATGCAAAAATTCTGGTATGTAAGGAACCAAGGCAGAAGGTTACCTTGAAACAACAGACTTAGAGTGCTGCGATTTAAAAATAAAATACTACATCAATGCTTTCCGTATCTCGTGGTCACCAGCACAGATGTAAGACAGATGCACTCAGTCCCAGAGATATCACTGAATAGCCCAATCAGGAAAGAAAATAAAATGAGCTTTTCAACTCCTCTTGCATAAAATATAAATTATTTAATGGCAGACTCAGGGTTTCAGCACTACAGATTTCTTCAAATTGTAAAAAGAAAAGAGGTCAGATTATCAGTTTGCATAAACTGGCAGAGATTCATTTGTCTAACAAGAAAGCCGTACTCCATTTACCCCAGGAGAGCATCAGGCCTTTAATATCCTGGGGAACCTCAACCTGCGCAACATCAGAGAATGATCAGGACCAAAGGACGATCCAGTGGGCTTGTGGTCCTGGCTGGCTGCCCAACCTGCCTTGTGCTGTCCAGCAGCTATCAAGGAGCGCTCACCTGTTTGACCTTGAGGATGATTACTTTGTTAGCAACATTTCTGCATGGCCCAAGCAGAATTACCAACCTGGGAGGACACCAACGTGGAAGCTCCTGAGTAAGGATCATTACCTAGGAGTATCGGGACTGCAGATTGCAGCACAGCCATTTGACTCTTGATTTGCAGAACAGCCCAGAGTAAAACATTTTTAAGGAAACAAAGATATCCCTCACTACTAATGTTAATTGCACCTATTTCACCCACAAGAAGGCAGCCTCCTCTCACTTCAACATAGTTAAGAGCAACAGCATAAAGGTGCACTATACCAAATAACCTAAATATGTTGAGCCCAGATACTTTTGAGGAAAACAGAATTCAAGATCATTGGGTCTCCTATTTCTCCCTCTGCAAGAGCTGAAAGTCCAGTCTAAAAATCAGAGTGAGCCACTAATCATGAAGCAACGAAGCCTCTGAAAGTTGGGTATGTTGTGAGCTCACCATTCACTGAAGATGAAACGTAGCATCTTCCTCAGAGACAACCAAATAGGCTGGTGTACGTGGTCCTGACAAGAATTGGCCCCAAGGGCACCAGAACAGCTTGCAGAAACCATCCTGCAGCTTGAAAGCCGGGAGCCTCTGCCCAGGAAGGGACCTCCACCTCATCGTTCCCTCACAGCCATGATCTTTAAACATTAAATGATCGTGGAGAGGGGTGACCTTGCATCTGTCCTTCTGAGGACATGCTGACAACTTTGCCAGTTTGAGGTAGATGAGCCTGTGTTTGAGATTAAAATGAGAATGATATTGCTGGTGCCCACAGCCCACCTTATGCCTAATTCCTTGTGCCTCTGGTTTCTGCAGCGAGGGGCTCCCCTTTCCTCCAGCCTGTAATGCTCAGGGAAGACCACTCATAGTCAACATGACAGGTCTAGGTCAGCAGTTGAACCTTCCCTTCTTACAAGGCTTTATTTCCCTTCTGCTTTGAGATGGACCATTGAAAAGTAGGTAGGGGACAAACTCCAGAGTGGTGAGGGAATAATATATGGTTCTCAGCCTTAACTTTACACTTGCTGATTTGGAGTTTAATTATATAAGAAGTATGCTGAGACGAAGAGAGTCCTTTAAGTGATTGGTCTGTTGTTTTCAAGTTTCTTTTGCAAGAAAATGATCTGTAAACCACTCATTATATGGACAGAATTCTGTTACTTTTAAAAGGTTTGTGAGGTTGAAATTTTGAGGTTATCTCCCTCCCTCTTTTTTAATTAAGACCTTTGTACAAAGAACATTTGGCTCAGTTTAACAGATACTGACACAAAACCTACATAAATGCCTTCTATAGCTAAAATTACTCTTCGCTGCCTGTTCCCTTTTAGCTGCTATCAGGAAAATAGGCTTAAATTTTAGGCCCTGGTGTCTCTCCTTTTTTCTTCTCCTGGCTTTTCTTTTCCTCTTTTTTTCAATGCTGTTCTAAAATCTGCAGTGATCAGATATAACGCAGATATATAGTACCAACTACCCAGAGTTTCATATTGAACTTTTAAACTTTATCTAGGTAGCAAGCAAAGACTTTCTGCTAATTTGAGGTACCTTAGAGCAACAGTTTCAATCCATAGAAGCGGGTATGTATGAATATATTTAAGGACTAAGCTGTAATCTGTGTTAGCAGAAGTCATGTTCCTTTCTGGCCACTTTTCACACACTTCCTTCACATCCTCTGCTGGCACTGACAGCCCAACACATTTTTCGCACCCCAGTTGTCTGACAGGAATTTTCATCTATTTTTTTTTTTTTTGTTTATTTGCTTTATGCAATCATGTAGGGCATAAGCTTATTACAACCACAACAGGGAAACAGCAGGAGGCAATCAGCTGTCTTTAGGGAGTCCAAGACTGTTCTAGCTGTAGTGGAAATACCTGATTCTTTTTTGAGGCACATACACATATCTCAAAGTTTACAAGTGTAACTGACTTCAGGACCCGACTTGCAGTTGATAACTATCATGTGATAAAGAACCGACACTTTTTGCTTTTCTGCCTAGCTACCTTTTCATCCTGAAACATGTCTTCCTGGCTGATACACAACTGTGAATGGCACAGGGCTGTTCCTAAGGCAAACCCATTGGGAACTCCCTCACAAAAAAGCCTGTCTGCAAAAGCCATTGCACTGGAGGACATTCCCATTACGACATCATTTAAACTTTCTGTCACATATAGTAACTCAAGGATGGTCACAGCAAGAGATGAAACCTGGAGTCCAAGCTCTAGATCTGGTATAAAATCACTGGACCCATAGGACATGTCTGAGAGGCAGTCCAAGTCCAAGCTCTAGATCTGGTATAAAATCACTAGACCCATAGGACGTGTCTGAGAGGCAGTCCGTAAGAGAAGAGAGCTCTGTCAACATACAGAAACCGGAAACATAACCAAGAAATTGTAGCCTTGGTTCTTCCTTTCCAAGCCATTTACTCCCAGCTAATAGGTAGCTGCATGGTAGAGAACAATATTGGCCACGCGTGATAACGGAACAGGGAAAGGAATAACAGCAGCCATGCCTCTAGGCAGCCAGGAAAGCAAGTGGCAGGATGAAGACTGTTGCCCTTTAACCCTTCGCTCCACTGCACTCAAGTACATTCCCATCATGACTCCAGTGAGGGGAGGAACATGGCAGTGCCGTACTTGGTGGAGGTCTCACTGCCTGACAGTGCTACACCAATAAGTAGCCCTGCAACACCTTAACAACGTCAGCATGTCTACACTGCGAGATGAAGCTGCAGCTCTGCCTGGAATGAATTATATGCATCTACAGGGAAAGACTAGCAGGTCCAGCTTTGCAGTATGGAAACTGTTTAGCTGGGTTTTTTTGAGAGGAGGGGGAGAGAAATTCGTTTCAAAAGGACAAGAGGCAATGTACAGATATGTCAGGATTGGAAAGCAGCATCCTCAGAGCTCCCGTTTGGGAGGGAGCAAGGAGCAGGCTCTGAGTTCTAGCTGGGACGTTTCTCTGAATGTCTACGGGCTTTGTTCCCCGCAGGAAGGTGGCTCTTAACTCTCTGATCCCAGGCCTCTGCTTGCAGCAGTCCCCAGGATCTGCCCGCAGGAAATTTCTGCAGCTCCAGTAGAAACTGCCAGGAATTAGAGGGAAAACACCACAACAGTCTAACTCCAGTGAATCCAGTGAAGCTCTCACCAGGTTCTTTGTTTCTCACTCTCTTACTGCATTTCAGGATGGACTGCAGACAAATACATTTAAGCCATAAAGACACGTGAATGTAAGCAAAGCAACAACTACCAGGTTCCTCTGTGTCAGTCCTTTCTCAGCTTTGAATTTTAGGACTCACCTGGATTCCAATCAAAATTCCTTCCTTTGGAAATGTAAACCCCGTGGCAAGTATCGCCTTCTGGAAGGCAGAGTACACATCCTCCCCGAAGCACGCGACCTGGGAGAAGGCACAAAGAAGGCGGCATGAGGAGAAAAACCAAAAACATCTCAAAAACATTGCTTTAAAAAGAAACACGAATGAAATTTTTAAATACAGTCATTTGATTTCTTCACGCAGAATCAGACTGCTTTTGCATGGAGCCTGCAGGCAGGAAGGGGGGAAAAAAAAAAAGTCAGAAAATCATTGCAGACAAATCTCGTAATTTTAATGAAGCAATAACAAAGGAATAAGCAACGCTTTAGTTTCAAACAGCACACCAAGGAGTAACAACAATTGATTCTGCTGAGTTATGGGAATGCTGTACACATCCTCTGCTCCAATGCCTGTGAGTGCACTGCAAATTGTTTAACATTATATAATGCTTAAATATCAGTGAGTGTTCTGTATGCAGGCATGTTTCTCCGTGTGTACGCTGCAAATTGGGGTAACACAGCACTTGTGATTTGCAGTCACGGACTTCTGACATTTCTGGTGAATATAAACTACAGTATGTAAAGATGTTTTTCCCTTAAAAGTCCACAGATGTACAAAATTTGACTAAAATGTTAGCATATACTTAGCAAAACAACAAAGTAATCATACCAATTCATAATAATTTCTTTTATATAAATAAAAACTTGATAAAGAAGTCAATGAAAATCATTTAGCAGTTCTCCATCATTCAGAACTGCCTATGGAGCTCAGCTGCTTACAGCCTGTCATACTGTAATGATTTTCTGAAAGAACTAAACTGTGTTCCTTACCAAAATTTAGAATTCTGATGACAAAAAGAATGCTTCAGCTTTTGTGAAAGTTAAAAAAAGAAAAAAAGGAACCAAAAAAGCCACAAACCCCTCACTTTTTCTAGCCAACTCCGCACTTGTTGAAAAACAGTCCGAGGCAGAAACTGTCAGACATTTTTCTCTTTGAAATAGCAAATCTGCACACATATACAGACAGGATAAAGGAGCTGATTGAGAATTGCTCTCCCATTTTCCTCTTATGGCCCTTCCCATCACAGAGCGAGCCCTCACATTCATGGCCTTACTGTTACCATGGTGAGCAGAAAACAGTATTTCATGTTAAGAAGAACAAATGATGGTTTGCCAGATATTCTGAAGTAAAATAAAAAACAACAAAATAAACAAAAATCCTTCAAAGAAAGGGATTAAAAAAACAAAAAAAAACCCAAAAAATATCTTTGAGGAACAATCGAGCATTTTACCCAAAGCAAGTTATTATCCTTACTTCACTGACAAGAAAGACTTTCATAACTGTCACATTTTATGGCATTTGTGAATACGGATCTTTCCAACTCGTAAAAATTAATAATCCCTCCTTTATGACCAAGATAATCTCTAACTTCATATAAAGCTCAGAAAAATAATTCTTTCCCTTAGTTACATTTTTATTCCCTTTTTTTTGTTTTGAGTGGGAGGTGGAAGAGTGTGTCTCTGTAGTCAATCTTGTTCTGAAATTAAGGAAGTCACAGAAGCCACTTGGCTTTTTTCTGCCCATTAACTACACTGAAAGGAAATCTTCTGCAATACTAATTTCCCTCACATGGAGAGCAAAATGAATTAATTCTGGAGAGATGCAGGAGACCTAAGGCTGTTTGTACCTTGTACCTGGGTATAGTGCTTTTTCATACTAAAATGCTAAACCTTTCCTAACAAAAACGGTGGATGTAGACACAGCCAAATTCACATCAAATGGAGCAGCCCAGGCTCTGCCACTTGCATAGCTCTGGTAGAGAAGAGTTAAGCCTAATCTAATTGCCTCAGAATTTAAGCACTTCCCAAGCAGGCTTTCTAGCCCAGAATAAGTTTCTTGCTACCACAACTCTCTTCTAGAAGCAACAGAGCAAGCGAGTTGAAATATAGCTTGCTTATATCGATGGAAGCTATTGACAGCTCAGCAACAACTCACCAAAAAACCTCTTTGCTCTAGATGAGTTAATATCTCTTCAAATGTCATAGAGGGAAACCTGTAACCCTTGAGGGGTGAGGGCTCCCACCAGTGCTGAGCCTGTGCAGGAGGAACACTTTGTGCCTTTACAGCGTGCCATGCATACACCAGAGACACCGTTCAGAAGCTCCTCACAGCCTGGCTGTTAGAAAGAGTGGGTGAAGCAGCCCAGTCTCCCCTTCATCCTACCAACAGTCAGTGCTGCAGTCATCATATTTTGCTCACTTTTTCTCACCTTTTGCACTTTGGGACATGCCTTGATGGTTACTAGGCAACGAGAAAAATACCACCACAAGTATTTGTTGTCTTTAAGTAACTAGCAGGTTCAAAGACCAAACACTCGTGACCTGGAGCCATTATTCTGGCATGTGTCGATGTGGGGGGTTTGAAAGCTGTAAGCACTTGTCTGTCTAGAAGCAGGTGATTCATAAAAGAGACTGATGCACCGAGAACCTCCCAGAACTCGACAGCTCTCAGATAAACTCACTTCAGGCTGTCACTCCAAGCAGGTCCAACTCAGGGAGCTGACATAAAGGTAAACAGGGACATCCAGTGGCTGAATAAACTGAGTTTTCCAGGACAATGTGTTTTTACAACTAAGAAAGATGTTTTCAATTTTCTGAAGAAGCTACAGATGCCATCATGATTCAGGCAGTAGTAAGATCACTTTCAATGATTCATGATGTTTAAAGGCAACTTGGTTTTAAAAAAAATAGCAAATCTAAAAGATACCTCCCCAGTAGAGGCCATTTCACATCGGAGGACAGGGTCAGCATCTCTGAGCCGGGACCAAGAAAACATCGGGGCCTGGTGAAATAAAAAGGGGGCAGGAAGAAAGAGAATGAAAATTTAACGTGTCATTCTAAACAAAAAAAAGCAACCAAAACATCCAGCTACACTTGGAAGTGACAGAGACAGACACAAATTAATCCCCAAAAAAGCACTGGTCAAGGCTGATAAGCAAAGGAGTACTTGGCAAATGAGTTCCCCCAGCATCTCCACAACAGACTGGAATGAACAATCATGTATCTCACCAATAAATCATCCTGCTAACTCTTGCAGTCCTGCTCACATTCTGAAGGCAGATTTCTAATCTGTGATAGTCCACTATCACTATCGGGACACATTTCAAAACAGAAAGGCTGTGAAGCCTCTAATTCATGAAACAAGGAGAGATACTATCAGAAGCCAGTCAGTTTTTCTGAAAAAACTGTTCTTCAACAGAAATTTTTCATTCACAGGAATCAAATCATTCAACAAGAACATGCTCTTCTGATGTAAACCATGTGAGATTCTGCAAATTATTTTCATATTTTCCCTCTCTCTCTCCTCAAATGCACACCCATATTTTTTTAATGTTTTGTACGATAATATTAAACTTCTGATCATTATCACTATCTGAGGACTTATGTCACTGCAGTATCCGAGTTTCCTTGTCTAATTTGACCTTACAAAAAAAAGAAATAGAAGAGAAAGAAACATTGTTAAAGAGCCAATGAACACATTGGCAAATATGGAACAAACCTTCTGCTAAGGAATAATTTTCTTCAGCGTTTCTTTACACTTTAAACTACTAAAGGTATTTGCATAAAGACAACATCCTTGCTCCTTAAGAAAGAATCGATTTTTATATATGCAAAGACATAATTCTGTTCTTGGAAGTCTCTGAGGATAACACTGCGGACAAGACACTGCTTCATGACACCTAACAATGGCCAACTAAATTGTGACAGCAGAAATACATTGTGAAATGTTGCTCAAAAAACGTCATGCGTCTTCATGACTTTTAGATCAGTTTTGCTTCTTCTATAAGTAAAGAAAAGCTTTTCACAGTGGCCAGCTCTACAGTCTCAAGCTGAGATATGGCAGTCAAGGTGGATTATTTTTAATGCACATATTTTTCTGAAAGGTAACAAGCAACAAAGCCTTCCACAGCTCCCTAACTTTTGTCTGCCACGAACATGAAAATGCATCAGCAGGAGCAGACTCTGGTACTGCAGATAAATCTTATTTAAAACTTAGTCAGTCATGCTCTATCCAGGATTTAACCTTGGTCAGGCCATGATACTAGTCTAACTCTGCAAGAAAACATGGAAAGTTGACTTTTCAGTCACTAAAAATAATACGGTGGGACTCCAAATCCACAAAGGAGCAGCTGTGTAGAGAAAGAAGAGAAGAGCTTCATATTCTCTTTACAGAGCATTTAAGAACTGCTACAGAAACAAAATCCCATTTCCACGCAAATATTCTTAGCAATAAAAACATAAGAGGACAGAAAATACAATGCATGAATAATGAGAACCAGGTTTAACTGGAATATTTTTCAAAGTTTAGCCCTTCCAAAGGCATTAGCAGGTTTTTATATTTGACAAATCCACACAGAACACAAGCAGTATAAAAGGCTTTCCAGCAAAGTTTTCAAGAATATTGTTGGGTTTTCCACTCTGTAGCCAGCATTCCCAGGAGACAAAACTCGTGACAGTTTAGCTAACAACAGTGCAGAAGCCCCAGGTCTGAATAATAGAAGTTTATAAAAATAAATAAGACTCACAAAAATAAAAAAGTCTCGGATTAGAATTTCAGATAATGCCTATCTGTGGCATCAAAATAAAATGTAAAGCTACTTCCGGCTTGCCAATAACCTGCGCTGGCTTGGGCCACAGATTTGGCTTGCATTTTTATAGGGCCAAACATATTATTGAGCGAAAGATGTTACGTGTTTTCCGTTTCCTCAATTTTATTTTGATAGGGAAGCTACTAAAGCTTGAAAGTTTCTGTATAAACAATTCTTATTACCCATTGTATTTTCTGCTCTGCTGTTCTAGGTTTTTATAATTGGGAACTTCAATTAATTTTTTCTTCCACTAAGCATTCAAAAATATCTACAGCACACTTTAGCATCTTAGGTGCTTAGGTGCTTAGTAATTATGGAAGAAAAATCATGGCCTACTGAAATCAAAGAATCCAAGACTTTTACCCTCCGCTTAACTGGTGGTGCATCTAAAGGGGATTCCATGCATTCAACAGCCCAGGTCTCAAATCCTGGGCCTGGGGGGCACTCAAAAGACAAATTTGTCCATGTCCACAGATATATTAGACAGCATTATGAAATAGCTGGAACTTCAGTGTTCAATTCTGCAAGTGCATATTTATTATGCAGTTCATAAACACCATTCAGAGTACATTAGAAATAAGAAATAAAGGACGACTGATTTTGTTAATAATCATTGGATAATTTTCCTTTGATTTTTCTCTAAAATTCCAAATGTATGTTATCTTGACAGAAATTACAAAAGGTCAAATTGGCCTTTGGCCAATGAGTAAATTGTTCTCTCTGGACATAAAAGTACTAATGGCCTATTAATGCACTGGGTGCTGGCTCTGTTGTGGGGTTTCATGGTGTTCTTTTGGAAACCATACCTTAATCCCAACATACTGGGATGGAATTATGGGACGTTCCAATGTGGGAAGGGATGACTCATTAACCTCTTTTCCAATCATCACTTTTGTGGCTACATCAATGAAGTCCACACCCAGAGTCTTTGATACAAAGGGAAAGGAGCGTGAAGCCCGCAAGTTGCACTCTATCACCTGAAAGAATTGAAAAGGAGAAACATCAGGGTCAGGCACTGTGCAGTGAAGAAACAGATTGATTAATATTTCTGGAAATCAGTCCTTACTCCTCTTGGCAGAGATGCTCTTCAGTTTGCCAAATAAGAGACACAGAAATTGTGTTCAATAAACAGTGATGAGGGTAGTGGCCAGCCTGAGATACAAGGAGCATAAAGTCCTGCAACTGAGTTTCATCTCTGTTGTCTGAAAATTAGAACTCAGAGTAATCCACTTAAGAAAACGCGCTGTGTTATACCATAAGTTAGTGTGCAAGAGGCAGGGAAGTTTACGCACAGGCATCAGGTACAACATTTAGCAGCCCACCTTGTTCTTTTTCCATGGTAATGGCACTTCTTGAATGACTGGGCTACCCTCATCAACTTTCCTCATCTACATGTAGAAGTCATTCCGTGACCCAAACAAGAAACCAAAAAGTTCTGCACCCTGCTGAGAAGCATGCCATGGAGTTCATTAGCATAAGAGGAATTACTGTAAGTGAGAACAAAGGAGGAGTGAAGTGGGGCAAGAACTGGAGAAGAATGGAAAAGGAAGGTTTATCCAGAAAAAAGGCAAGCACAGCTGAGGGAAAGTAAGGAAGGAAAAGCTCCACTCTGTCCCTCTGTGGAGTTTCTAAGTAACTGTGTGTGAAACAGAAGAAAAGTCAAGAATGGCAAGTACATTCTTCTCAACTAATAGCCCAAATAGGATCTTTCAGCAGTAACACATCTCTTCTGTGCCATGTCAGGTTTTCCTTCCATTCATTGCTTCCTCGGTCCTGCTCTGCTCACATTCCTCTGACCTTCTTCCATTAGCAACAGAAAGCCAAGTGTTACCCATAGAGGGTCAGACACCCGCTGCACTTCTGTTACTGATAGCTACTAGGAACACACTATTTAGATAATCATCTTAATGGCTTACATTGAAGGCTTAAACACTTAAATTGTCTTGCTTTCTTTCCAATGTCTTGGAAAGCTTAACTTAATCATCAGAATAGCTAAATATGAGAGAGGATATTTGGGAAATAAAAGCAATGATATTCAGTTCACAAGATGAAGCATAAGTCCTAGTGCTGTCCATCATATTGAAGCCTGATAATTTTTGGAAGGACAGATCATCACAGAGAAATAAAGCTAGTGCTGATAGACAACACAACCAGACTCACTCCACCCTCGCTGTGAAGGCACCAGAGAATGCTCTCTCCCACACAGGCAGGGAGAGCTGCGTTCCCAGGGGTGACACAGGTGAGCTACACATCCTCAGACGAGGCAGGTTAGAAACCTAGAACTGCCACTGCCACAGAGTTTCCACAGCAGTGACCACAGGAATCAGACACCAAACTATCCAAAGCGGAGCCTGACTTCCTCTGACAGTCACGAGAGCTCTTACCAGCACATCGTTGCGTCGCACCAAGAACTGAATGTTGAACGGACCAGAGATGGCAAAGGCATTTGCAATCTTTTTTGTAGCAGCTTTTACCTATTGAAAAAAAGAAAGTAAAAATGTGTATATATATAATAAAAAAATAAATCCCAAAAGACAAACAGCATCATGGCAGTAAATCACCTCACATGTGGATTTCCTCTAAATGTCATATCTCTCTGCCCCAGCATCCTTCTTCCCTATATTCTCAGTTTGGCAATAGCACTATCTTTCAGAAGCAAACATGTTTAATTTGTCTGGTAACCTAGAACCTGAAGCTCTTTGCCATCAAGAGCAGAAGCAAAATCAGCTTTATGTGTGTGTGCTTGAGAAACCAGAGGAAAGAAGGAGAAAGAGAATAAAAAACTTGACCTGCCCTACAGTGCACAATGGAGCCTTTGTACCTTTCTTGGTGAACTAATGAATAATGACGTTTTGTTAATTTGAGATTAACTATGTGGTTTTACAAGCATCCCAAAAATCTTTCACCAAGATGCCTGTCTCATCACAGATGAGTAGGAGGTGTCTCAGCAGATATATTCTGGAATAAACTGGGAGAAAACATTATGGTCTTATTTCCAAAGTCTGTCAAGAAATCACGTGCCATTTCAGTAGAAGCATTCCAATAACTTTCCTCCAGGAGACGACTGTTTTCAGAAACAAGGCCTTGGACATTCTTGTAAACAGAGCTGGAGCACAGACCATTGCATTACAGCTTCCAAGCAAACCCTTAATCACAGGGGATGGCACTTTTCATCTAGAAAATGCATTTTGACAACTAACTCTGTATCACTACATTTATTCTTGAAAGGGGAAAAGCTCAAGATTAGGTAAGGTTCACTCATCCTGATACCCTTTTCAGAGAGGCAGGCAGCTAGAAAGTCATACACTGGATTTAATAATTTAAGGATTGTGGGAGAAAAGGAAGTAGAAAGTGAACCATGGCATATATTTGAATTAGACAATCCTCTACTGCTATGGAAGCTGGTTCTAAACCAATGAAACAAAAAAATCCCACAGATCTGAAAGTGTGTACCTCTATTACTTAAATTAATGCGATACAGTTCAGATGATCCTACTTACAGTCCAGTCAATCACAGGGGGCACAGTGACATCCTACACTTGCACATATCACACCGGCCTTTAAAAAAACATTGGTGATTTGATTTCTCCCTTGGGGACTGAGTTCTCCAAAGCAAAAAGGGAAGGCAGATCCAAATTCTTATTTTCTTTATGTTTTCAATGTCAGTGCAGCACCTACCTTCTCCAAGGCTCCCTGGCTAACAGTCTGTGTGGGTAACATGAGGGTGGCATCTCCAGAGTGAACGCCTGCATCCTCCACGTGCTCTGAAATAGCATGTGAAATAACCTGCACACCGTAACAAGAGAGCCGTTAGTCACCTCATGCTCTCTCAGGAACCGTTTCTCTTCACCAGCCTAGCAGTCTCCTGTATCCAAAAGAGGATACAGACGGTGGGGAAAAAAGGGAATTTCCAAAAATTTTGGGAATGTGAACAAGGGGATCACGTCAGTGTCTTTCATACCATGGGTAAGCAAACTCTGAACCTGATCAAACCTACCCCTGCCTGGTGATCCTAAGGCTTCCTTCCTCTCTCTAACACAAACTGACTTGGAATGTAAAAGCTAATTAGGCTTTAAACCAGCTCTCTAAGTTCTGCTTGCCATGAACACCAAAATGTTGTCATTCTGCAATAGAAATAAATATGGTCTAACATAATTTGCATATTATCCAGTAAAAATATATGCTAAAGGATTCATTCACATGGTTAAGCAATGTTTTAAAAAATTAACTATTTAGATGTATACAATAAGGTAGTTCAGGCTTTTCAAGCACAATGTTTTTGAACCTAAGATTAATTCATCTTTTCTTGTTTCTCTACTCATCTCAGCACAAATCCACAGCTGTATAAAAACCATACATTTTTGCATATCTCCAATCCTGAAAAACAAGTCTTATATGAAAGAAAAGTTCTTACTCTTCCTGCCTTGGCTACAGCATCCATTTCTACCTCACGCGCATCTTCAATAAATTTAGTGAGTACCACAGGGTGATCCTATCGTCAAGACAAGAGAAAAGAAGAAAGATTTTATTTAAGAGTATTTGGACATTACTGAAGCGTTTCACTGGAAAACCATTGGGCGCAGAATCCTGCAAGACTAATCTATTAACATCATTATTTCCACAGAAAAATGAACTTTCCAAAGCAGTAACAGGAGGAAGTTTGGCATGATATTCCCAAATCCACTGATGCATTAGTTTAACTGCTCCACAATGTCTCCATGACAGGAAAATCTGGGACAAAACCACAAAGTGAGATTACTGCAAAATAAAGACAGTGGGACACACGCATGGATCCAGTGACCGCTGATCCTTACCTGCAAGATCTTCAATTCTTCCTCCCTCTGAGCCTCTCAGCCACCTCACTAGACACACTGCTTCACAAAGTAATGATTCTTGGCATACTTAATGACTTTGCATAGTGGCTGTTTGCTGTTTTAAAGAGTCATATATTTTAGGCAACCAATCTATTCCTTTGTCATTTCTCTGCCTGGTTTCCTGAGCCTCCAAGGGAGCAGTCACCACTTAATTATAGCTGGCCAGGAACAACTTGTCCTTGACTCTCAGTGCATTCCCTGGTACACACTGTTCTCCTTCCTCTTCTTCCTGTCTATCTCTGGGACGCTAGCACACACTTCCCACTCTCCTCGAATGTTTTCTCCTTCCAGCCACCTGCTCCAACAGATGGTTAAAAATCTAATCCGCCTTCTTCCTGGCCGGGTTTATGTCTCAACATTTTACCTGTCCCATCCACTGTTAACTGCCCGTTATTTATTAGAGAATAAAATGGAATAAATGACAGTTTGTGCATGCTCAAAAGGCTCCTCTTGAAAAAATATCAGGCAACTCCAAAAGTTACAAGACACAATTCCTTATATTTATCAGTGCAAGGGTAAATTCACAGGCAAGGACAATGCCACAGCCTACGCTATTTCATAAATTTTGTGGCTTGTGTCCTGTAACTTTCTGTCTTGCTGCAGTTTTTCACCGGAAGATTTTATATGTGCATACAATCTTGTTTACTCCGATCTGTCTCAACTCACACAAGAAATTTTGAACATTATCGACAACAGAAATGACACAATGACACAACACCACAATAGCAAACTTAAGATGAAGTACAGAGAGACACTAAGTGTTTCGGGGGCTGTGCACTGCTAAGAATGTGTGTTTCCACCACAGGCTGAACCTGTAGTCTTTTGAGAATTAGTTATAGGATTCCTCTTGATAAAAGTAACATTGGTACTCTCCCACTTTCAAAGTTGCTCAGAGACAGCGTGTGCCTCCCTACTAACCTAATCTTCAGGATATTACTGCTTTGTAAGGTATCTCCCTTTCATTACATCTCTTCTTGCTGAAAGGCTAAACTTCCATTATTTGCCTCATACATTTAAAAAGCAGAGTTTTGTTCTTGTTCAAGCCTTAACCATTAAAGAATCCCCCGAGTCAACAGTAATATGTCTAGCTTCTATAGCCAGTTGTGTTTCTAGAAAGTTCCTCTATGACTTATTGTATTTAACCCCAATATTTCTGTGACAGTACTGGTTATGGTACTACAGGACTGTTCTGAACGGTGACCATTCAAAAGGAGGGAAAAAAAAGAGAAGAAGGGAAAAAGCCTTCAGAAGAAAATAGACCAAAAGGCAAGGCCAAACTCAGAGATTGCTGAAAGATCAGACTTTGAATTCTATTAGTTCTTCACTTAAACTCAATAGTTTAACTTTTTCCTCCTCCCATATTCTCATCTTTCCAAACACCCCCTCTACAATATCACTGATAGAAGACAGAGATGAAACTTAGGCTCTGAGTTGTTTCCCATGTATGGAAGCATTCATGTCTTTGGGAAATTGCTCAGTTTTCTAAATTTCAGTGTACTAGGCCAAATCCTTCCCTTTGCTAGAAAAAAAAAGAGATTGTAAAAATCCCCAAATTAGCTTTTGAAAAACATTTAAAATGGAAAACAGAGCTTTTATCTTCTGCTTTACATACTCTATGGATCAATAATCCCACTGGATTAACAGTAAGAGGGCAACAGTCCTGCTTTTATATTAGAGGAAAATGTAACTCAGCACATGATTTGGAGGGTTAAATGTCATAGTAAAATAATAATAATAATAATAAAACAACTCAAAAGGTCATTGGTAAGTGAGAGTATGCCAGGATGAAGTTTTAAATTGTTCAAAGAAGCCAGGCAAAACAGTTCAGAAACGGAGCAAAAGGCCCTAGCTGTTTTATGTTGGTTGGCATAACCGGCTACCAGCAAGCTTGGATGGGGTGGAAGGCTCTCAGCCCATCAGTCTACTATTTATATAATTAACTGCTCCTAGTTAATTAAGGCATCCTGGTCGTATCAGTGAGGATGCTTGCAGAGACTTCCATGGACAGCCTATTGGGAAGAAACTGAGGAGTCAAACTCTAATTTCACTTGCTCCTCCCCAAACAAGGAAAGGAAGGAGTGAGGAAGACACTATACAGAAACAAAGTGATGGAAAACACAATTAAGGTGAAACAAATACAGCAAACAAAAAGAAAAAGCAGTAGCAGCACAAAGACTGGTACCTGAGAGACTCTCGTGGCTTCTGCTAAGAACTTCTTCATTTCCTCTTCAGTGAATGCTACATTCATCGCAGACCCACTGTAAGAATGGCAACGAAAAGAAAACGGGTCAGCTGCCCTTGTGACTTCAAGGGAGATATCCGAGGGTTAGACACCCCTGCACAGGGTTGCCAACAACCTTTGTGAGCCAGGCTAGCCAGGCAAGACCCTGACTCAAGCTACTTCCTCCGCTCTTGACTGAAAGAAAGGCAGAGATGAAACGTAATGAACCTCCATTATACCTCCCCAGAGAAGACAGGTGACCCTCAGAACCATAATGAAGAATCAAACAAAGAACTGTAATTGTGCAGCCTTAGCACTGCTGCCAAACCCCCTTTCTGACCCAAGCCTTTAAAGCTCCCCCCAGGCTGGAGGAGATGTCTAGTCAGCAGACAAGCCTGCTAAGGACCCAGACTTCCCCCATACATGCAGGTTAGCTGTGACAAAACAGATGCTTTGTTCACGTTAGCACAATTGCTCATCAGGGAGAGATGAAGTAAGGAATGCACAGGCCACTGGTGATGGTTGCCACACTATAAATGCAGATAAAATGTGTTGTTACGGCCACTTCACTGTGTCCCTCCCCTAACATCTTAGTCCTTAAGGGAGAGGTACAGCAGATACAGACACTGTACCTGAAAGCTGCTTTGAAACGTAGCTGTCAGTAATACCAGAGAGAGAGATCTGGAAGAACATGGCTCAAAAGCCAATGATTCAGGTGCCTTTTAAATACAAGAACCTTATTTAAAAAAACCTGTCACATTGGTCATTTCTACCATTCATGATTAGCTTCCCCTTTGCTTTGGTGGGCAAGTCCACAGAGGCTGTGGGGAAAAGCGGAGGAAGGATCTATATCACGAAATCAGTCACTTTAGCCTAAGATAAATAGTCACAAATACCTAGGTGATAATACTTACCAGACTACATCTTCAGCTGATGTAAATCAATAGAGTTCAATTAAATCCATGGACCTGTGTCAGCAGCACCACTGAAGATGCGAGCTAGTACCCACAGTACATAGCTAGCGGGGAAATGCATTTAGTTTTCCAGGGCACCCAGCAAATATTGAGGGCTGTATCTGTTCAAAGGATGAAGAAGTCTAGCTGTGGACCTGCTGCTGTTCTGTAAATAGAGGCCAGACAGTGTGCTCTGCTGGGGCTTTTCGCTTTTTATTTCCTCAAGTTTGACATTCTGCAGTTTCATCTTTCTCCCTCAAGTTCGCTTAACTTGTCCAAACACTGTTTAGCAAATACTTAGATGGAAAGGGCCTATACTGAATTTAATAAGGATGGAAACAACATGTCATAAGAAGTGTTCCCTAAAAATCTGGAGAATGACCACACAGAAAAGACACATTCAGCAGTCCCTTCTAAAGGATATTTCCCTGAGGGTTGAACATACAAGAGTTCTTTTTTTTTAAATGAAAAGATTTTTTTTGTTCTCCTAAAAAATAAATACTGTGCCTCTTCATTTTGATACATATCTCTTTTTCCTATGAAAAGGATTCCATCTCAAATTTATTTTCACTCGTAAATTGCAATTGCCTCTCTGCACCTAGTCATTCAGCTATGAAGAAACTCTTTGCAGAAAAGAGCAATCATTCAAAACACGTGAGTTTGCTGTGTGTATGTGCTGCTGAAACTTCTTCAAAAAGTCTAGCTGTGTGGCTCTGCCTATTTAAAGAGAAGCAGCTGCCACAGCGTAGGGACATAAAACATGCCTGTAAGCAGAGAAATTTCGCAAATAAGCTGAATTCAAAAGATGCAGTGTCATTTACTGAAAACAGATGCCAACCACACTAAATGGCCTCAGCATGTTCCCTTCTGTTTTTCCTGGTGACAAACAATCTTGTGGCTTAATTGTACAGGTAGTAGTCTCAGGAACCTGACGGAATATTGCAGATGGTTCATGATTTTGGCCTTCAGGTACAAAAAAGGTAATGCAGTTAAATAGACATCCCTGTGATCACATTCTACCTTTGTTTTCTGCCTGATGGTCATAAGGGACCTGTTGGCTTCCTTTACTGGGCTGAGTAGTTGCCCCACCTGTTAAGATGAGCAGCCTTACGCCACATGCACCTAGCATGGTGTTTTCCACACAGGCCCTGAAATTATTCTCCCCTGTCTCAAGGAGGCTTTTGTAGTTCCTAGCCCGACTGATGAGCTCTGATGGTTGAGCCTTACCTCAGAACGTAGGAAGGCCTCAGCAAACACGGGTAACTCACAGATCTTGCAAATTCAACCGCATCTCTCTAAAGAAAGGGAGGAAAAACATGCTGTGAACAAGAAAATATTTTAAAGCCATGCCAAAATTTCAACTCCATCTGCATTTGCACTTTACTAGAGAATAATACGAGGGGGCAGGCAAGAAGTCAGGGACTACAGCATAAGTTGAACATATGTGACTTCTTGGTTCCAGATTTGCCATCTTCAGACCCTTCCTGTCCATAGAGCTTCACCAAGGAAAAAAACCCAATGCCGACACGTCTCTACTTCTTCGCAATATCCACCTGCTAGAATAGTTTTCAAGGTCAGCAGGATAAAACAGAGTAGCTTGAAAGCAGTGCTAGCTTTTGCCGAGTATATACGCCATGTTGTGCAAAGGTGATTTAAAGATACCTCCCTTCCAGTTTCCGTCCCACTTCCAGTGATGCTATAACATCATTTTACAGTGATTAAAAACATCTTCAACGTCAGCAGTAAAAAACTGTCAAAAGTCTTTGAAATCTTGAAAGGCACCAGTACGTCAATCCCTGCTGAGCAGATGCTCACAACAACCTCCAGACACTTCATCATTTCCCAGACGCACATCCCAACTTACGAGTGTGCTGACGGCCTTCCAGGGAGCCTGGGCCACGTGCAGCTCATCTAGAACAGCTGAGAACACGGAGCGATCTTCAGCCCGGTCAATCTGCAAGGGATTTGTGCCAAGGATCTTCACTCCACTCCGGTGCAGTGGCATTGCTAAGTTATTGGGAATCTGCCCACCTACAGAAACAATGCAACCACTGCATCCCTGTTGGGAGAGAGAAAGGAGAACAGTCATATCTAAGTCGGCTTAGCATTAAGAGGTGTGACAACAAGGAATCTAATATCTAGATTACATCACTTTTCAACCAGGAATCCAATATCTAGATTACATCACTTTTCAACCAGGAATCCAATATCTAGATTACATCACTTTTCAGGGTGCTATGAGCAAAGGCAGATCATAATTATGCTGACCCAGAGGCACTCAGGCTGCAAAGAGTGATTCAGAGTGTGTAGCTCCCTAAAACAGCAGTAGCCTTCTTGTTGTCACTCAGCAGACAGCAATAACTTGAGGTGAAATTCCCCAGGAAACCAAGGAAATCTGTGATGTTCACATGCCTTTTGACATCAGGCCAAGATTTTAACTTCTGAGAGAACCACAGACTGTTTCCTTGTTTTCATGCCATGTTTAAGTGCTTCTGCTTTCCCAGTAAGGATAACCAGTGAGCTGGCACATGCTCCCTTGCCTTGCAGAGGAAGGACACCATGCTATGAAAACCTCCCATCCCACAGTGAAACTCAAAACTCCACTCGTTGAGGTCACGTCTCCTTCATATGTGGACATGGGCATCACCACTTCCGCAGAGCCCACTCCCCCGCTGCAACCTCTGGGCACAGCAGCCTGAGCAAACAAGATGGTTTAGGTTCTTCCTTCTCAGTTCAGCTCTTCTGAGAAAACAGCCTCTCCCTTGCTCATGGTCAGACACTTCCAGAATAGCAGATGTTCATGCAAACTCTTTTTTTACTACGGAGTTGCAAGGCAGCAACCCCCAGCAGAGAGACAATGGAAAACAACTAGAATTCTCTAGTTTTTTCTTTTTTCTTTTCTTGTTATTTGATAAACAAACATCCTTTCCTAGCTCCAGATGCCAGCCTTTAAGGTGTGCTCACTGCTTCCCCCTTTCTGGCCTGTACGAAGCAGAGTCTAGCTCAACAGAGCCCAATCCACCAGCCAGCCTGTGGTGATTCACTCTCGATACACTTAACCCTTTATTTTAATTCACCTTCATTATTTCTAACTAGCTCCTCATTTCCGGTAGTACGTTCGATAGTAACAAGTATTCCAGCCAAACTATCATACATGCTCCTTTCTCTGCAGGTTGTTTGCAAGCACTTCAATTCCACAAGCAGATGAGACAGGACAAGTGGCACAGCATCCTCCAGCCACAAAGGCATGTTTCATGTTCATCACTGGGCAACCACAACATTTTATGTGAGGAAACAATAAACAGCAAATAACAAGAGACAAGTGAGCTCACTTGCAAACACACATCCTTCTTCAGGTGCAAATATGGGCATTTTTTTAACACAGAACACCTCACGCTTTCAAGTACAATTTAGTCCGGTGTGAAGAATTCCAGCAGGAAAAAAAGGCCTTAGACTACCTGCAACAATTATGAGGACATGAATTACACTTACATTGTGTAATAATTATAGGTAATTAAATAATGGGCACTTTGTTTGCAAATTAAAGCTGGTCAATTTTTGCCCCAAGGAGAATCAGGCCCACAACAGAGCTGTAGTGAAGAGCTCTTTTGAACCAAACGTGTTTTACGTGGTTTTACTCAACTCTAATAAACGAGAAACATAAATCAAGTGATCCATGGTTTGGCTCTATCTTTTAGAGCACCAATATTCTTTTAATTAAAAAATGTATTTTTCCTGAAGAAGGTTAGCCCCACTGTTCTTCCTGGAAGAGGAACTTCTTAATGAGGGATTGAAAGGGATTTAAAGTGGCAGATCTGTAAGCTGAGAGCAGCAGGGACTAGAAGTGACTGAGAAAACACAGATGATAAATGCCAGTACAAACGCTGCTCAACTTAAATGTGGTTAATTTCCTACAATAATAAAAAGCCACTAAAAACATCTGGCATTTAAGCAGCCCTTATTATCCTAGGGTCTGCAAGATTATTCTTTGCTGCTAATGTACAGTGCTGGAGATAATTTTTTTCCTTTTCACCATGCAGTCACTTATGGGACAACACGCTGTTGCTGGCCAACAGTAACTATCTGAAAGAGCTTAGGACAGGGAGTGAAAATGCTTCATTAGTAGAGGGTGGAGCAAGGACAGAGGCTATTCTGTGCCCCCATGGGGTTGTCTCATGACATCAGCGCTTGCCATCTCCAACTTAGAAGAAAAAGCCATTCCTTACTGCTTCCAGATCCACTCAAAATACTATACTTATCCCTAGTCCCTGGACCCACTGTCATCCCATACAGACAAGAACCAGACAGTGAATAAAGTAAACCCCTCCTCAAAGCTTGGAATGGTTCCTGTTTAATAATAAGTCAACCTAGCTTTGCTGGCATGGTCAAGCAACATCTTCATCTCTCCTCCCCATATCTGAAATGTGAATGTCCCAGCTAACAGCTTCTCTTCAGCTGCCACTTGTTCCTTCCTTTAAAACAATACTGGTCACTGAGCCTCTAAAATCCAGATACTGCCTGCAAAGTTGGGATGGCTTATTCAGGCAGACAGCAAACAATCACATACTCATTTTTGCTCAAAAAGAAACATAAATTGAGACCCAGCTGTTGCTTACTTCTTCCTTTAAAATTCTGCTTTATTTCCTAATGCATGCTCTTGCCCAAAGAGCCACCCATTGCTCTGCTAGGGAACAGGACTGCTCCACTGAGAAATGTGGGCAGGCCGAAGGGGACTCCAAGGCAGATCACTTTGTCATCAGCCATATTTAATTGCCAGGAAAATGAATAATAGCCTTGCCATTAGATACCTTCAAAATATACGCTATACATAATGTAGCGAAAGAAGCCTAGAGAGAATTACTTTCATCTTTATAACAAAAATCACTCTTTTTACTACCATCTTGCTTTTATGTCATTAGTAATAGAGTTGGGTTTTCTTTTTCCCTGAGTTTGAAAACAAATTAGACCATTAAAATTGTACCTAAGAGCCTCCTTTAATTTTATGAATTGTTTCAGAATGATCCTAGAAACTGGAAAAGAATCAGAAGAGGCCCTCAAGCAGATAGATATTAAAATAAAAAGGGAACATCTTCTCTGGAAACAAAAAGCCAGTAAATTTGACAGAAGGAATTTTTTTTTTTTAAATTATGTTTCTCATAGACTAGCACCTAACTTTGCACATTCACAGTAAATTAAACTTTCCTCCAAAGCACGGCTCTGTTGTGCAGAGCTCAGTCTTTGGCGAGTCAGAGTAGCTGTGAATGTCAGCTGGAGAGGAAGAGGTAAAAAAGGACACTAGGGAGAGAAAGAAGAGGGACAGCAGAGAATATAATCCTGGGATAGGACTGTGTGAAGCTGTGAGCAGCTCTTGGTAGGCAAGTTCCAGCCCTCTCAGTCCCACTGGTAGCCCCACTCCTCAAGGTAGCCTAATTTGTCTAGTCAGAAAAACTGGGAGAAGTCAGTGCACCTATTTATTTGAGCTTGATAGTTGCCCAAGGTTCACTGCTAGTTTTAACAACATTTAGGGAGTTAACCCATCATCTCTATGGAGGGCAAATTGTTGTGTCCTTTGTTTGATGATGGTTTTTATCTACACTTTGCTAATGATCCAGAACTTCTGAGAGCATTTGCCACTGTTCGTTGTACACCGAGACATTAGATAAGGCTAATGAGCAGAAGAGTTTAAAATATCGGTCTGAAATCATGGCACTACTCGTGCTCTGTACATGAGGATGGGAGAGATGGTTATCTGCAGGATTGGTGAGGCACCTCAGAATCAGATCCTGAATTTTTAAGTTGATCATTTCCATAGAGACAAATCCCAACTGCATCTGTCTGAGGAAGTATTCTGTTAATAGAATATTAGCATTTGGATCACTCTTTTTTTTTTTAAAATTAACATCTAACAGATAATATCTTTTTGACTACACTCTGCTAGAGGTCTGGAGTCTGTCCGCAGCTCTGACTGTGTCCTTTTGTGTGACTGTGCTGCCTCTGCACTCCTCAGAGACTTAGTTTCCCTACTTGCAAATTAGGCATAATGATACCGCTCCCTTTTGTCACTACTTGAGAAAAGTGTTCAAAAACAGCTAAGTATTTATTATTCATCTCAGGATGTATTAGACAGCACAACTCTAACTTTGCATGTTGAGGCTCAGACACTGACGGCTTTAACATCTCCAGAGCAAACATCAAATTGGTTGTCCCAAGTCAGAGTCGCAGAATCCTCTGCAAACTCCCAGCATTTCTCTTCTTCCCATTTTATTCCCACCACCTCAGCTCCTGCTGCCTCCCACCTGCTCTCTCTCCTCTCTCAATCACTTTTTGGGTTACTTCACAAGTAGGGCAGCCTTAAAAAATGCCCAGAAGCATGAGTACAGTCCAGCTGATGAGCTGAGGAAATTCCCAGAGTGTGAGCTCTGGGTACCACAGGACGTTATTACCACTACCACTGCTATTAGACCTTGAGATCTGCAACACCTCCCATCAAACCCAGCAAGCCCTGCTGCGACAAGCAGGGTAATGCAAGTTTCAGTATGTACGCATTATTCTTTTCACATACTTTTCTTATCCAACTTGCTAATTACTAACACTACATGTTTAAATGAGTACTTGCTCACTCATCACCCATCTATCTTCTCTTTGATTCTGCAGTAATTAGATGCTGTGTTTCATCAGTGTTATTTGTCTGCCAAACTGTCACACCGGTTTCTTCCACGGCCCGAGTTCAGTTTTGCTTAAGTAAACAGGAGTTCCATGCTCATAGAATTGAGCCTTGTGGATAATCCTTAAGCATTCAAAAATCAGCCTTTAAGATTCCAGAGTGACACCATAGTCTTCTGGCCTGTCCTAAATCTATGCTTTCCAGTAACTTTCTTTGTTTTTATGAAAATTTAAAGAAGTAAAGCAACACATACAAATAGAAAACTATGAACATGCAATGTAAAAACAGTCCTAGATAGTTTTTTGCAAATGGTTCAAGAACAGAACTTCGACAATGGGATTTGAGTTCTGACGTACTTTTGCTTGGTTCCAAATTTGGGAATGATCAAAACATAGCCAGTTTATAAAACCATTTTAGAAACCCGCACCCATTCACAAAGGAGATGAACTCAAATCATCGTATACTGGGAGACAGAGACAAGAAAAATTACAAGTTTAACATGACCTAGGTTCAGCAAAGTTGCTTCAGCAAGTTACATGGCCAGCTCGCACCAAGTTTCAATGGAGATGAAGCTCCTGTAAGCATCTTTGGAAGCCTCAGTAACAAATCCAAGATGAGCATGTTACCAGTTAGAAACCATCATTTCCACATCAGGACCAACTGTTTAGGTTATATATCCTACCATTACCAAATCTATCTGGGACTCTTCTCCATCTCTAGCAGACAAATGCAACGTCTGCCTCAGGAGCTGAGCCACGTCTTGGCTTGACGACAATTCCAGTGCCCCTTCCTGATCTGCCAGCCTGCATGCTGGACCACATCCACCAAGTCACCACTCTATTGCAAGGCAGAGAGTGCAAGTTCTTGAGCACGAGTTAGCATTATGCACATAATTTGTTCTGCCACTTCAGGGGGAGTACTTGTGCTTCAAGTCAAGGATAAGCTGAAGCGCTAAAGCTCAGAACCGCAAGGGCAGAACAATTTGTGCGATAAACGACTGTGCGACAAATTAAATCTGCTTGCAAATATTGCACAATATGGTATCTTGCAAAATAATTTAATATTTATTTGGCATTCATTATTGAGCAGTCAGCTAGGAACATCAACGATGTGTAAAATGCAACATCAGGATCCAAACCAAACAGCTTTTGCTAGCAAGCTCTCTCCCCTCGCCCCTAGCTGCTCTGCCAAAGCAAACTAGTGACACGAATTTTGAAAAGTTTGGTTTGCTTCATGCTTTTTGTTGTGCTTCTGCTTTTCTTTACCTCATATTGGTAGATGTCCAGGATTCTTTCCAATGACAGCTCCTCAAAGTACAGTCTGTCACACTCATCAAAATCTGTGCTCACCGTCTCCGGGTTGCAATTCACTACGACGGTCTTGTTGCCAAGCTGACGCAGCGTGCGGATACTGGAGACAGCACACCAATCAAACTCCACGCTGCTGCCTGCCAGGAGACAGGGAAGTGGGCAAGGAAAGGAAAGATGCAGAGAAGAAAACATAAACAGACGTTCTCAGTGCTCAAGCTTAAAAAAGTCTTTTAAAAAAAATCAGCATTGTCTCCTGTCAGCTCAGAGCAAGATGTCTAATTGTCCTCCAGTGGAAACTAAACTAATCATCCACAAACATGAGCCTCCAAAGTACAACAGGTAAGTTGGCTCAGCAGCTCAGGAGTGACAACCTCTATAAGACATCTGTCACCCTGGCTCATCAACACTCGTGTTCGCTCTTGCAGCCCATCCAGCTACAGCCAACGTGCTTTTAGACAAACTTAAGATGCAGAAGATCAGAGGTGACCAAACTGAGTGCCCATTATTTTAAAACATTCCTGTTTACAGCAGGAAACATGAAGCACTTGTACAGATGTAGTTTTTAAAAAAAAAAATAACACAACAGAAGAGTGAGGTGGTGTTTTACCTTCCAAAAGAGCAGAGCATGGCCAACCCAACAACAGAAAAACTGCAACTCCGTGGGTTTAACCTTCCTGTGCGCTGGCTCTAGATAAGTCAGTAGGACAACTTTAGAGCCAGTCTCTGACCCCTTTATCTTGGTTCAAAGGCCACAGTGACTATGGCAACACTGTGGGGCACGCACATCCCGCTGTCCTGAATCCTGAGTAAGCACTGTGGCCACCTCTAAAGGAATGAGGCACACAAGGAGTCACTCGGGTGAGCACATGGACTTCGTGCTTCATCTTGGCCAAAGCCGCAGGACTTGGGACTTGGGCAATGCCAGGGGCTTCAGGCAATGTCTGAGTCCAGATTTGCACTAACAGCTACTGTCCCATAAATTTCTACGCTCAGATATCTAAGAAAGATACCATAAATAGAGAATGAAGCCTATTAAAAAACATCATTAAATGGTTATGCTTGCACCCTACAAGAAAAACTTGGCCTCATCATGATGCGTTCACAGTAATTACATGATTGTTAACCACCGATATTATTTTTATATATAACTATGTGAAAGATACATTGGAAATACAGGCTGTGTATTTCCAGTCACAAACAGATGCTGTCACAGGTCACCCGCTGACAGGAACACAATTTACTTCCCTACTTCTGTCAAACAGGAATCTCAGAACATGCCCAGGACTCAGCTAAAACCCCGCAGAAAAGAGAGGGAAATGAAATCAAACTGGATGTGGCCCAGAAGGATCACCAGATCACTCTTGGTATTCTACTTCCATTATTCAGGTATTCTTACACATATAAGAAACCTCAACTTTGGGACACAATGCTCATCTGGAGTCTCCATCTGACTGCTTTAGGTACAGTCTGGGAGAACTGCTGAGCACTTGAAAGTATATTCTAGTCACATCCAATCACAGTCATGTCCAAACAGTGGGAAAAGGGAAGACAGCCAATTATCAGTTATACTAGTAATGACTGTTGCAACATAACCAGGCACTGCTGCTCAGAAGTCAATTACTACACCAATACAGCCATGTTTTTGAACTCACTTAGAGGCTTCAATCATGTTAAATCCATGTACACATCTTAAAATTTACAGAGCACTCTGCTGATCCACGCAGCTGGTGAAATAGCTTATTTAGGTTGCTTTCCGAGCTGACTTTCACACAAGCCAACTCCCGTCCCAGGACAGCAGACACCCTCCTGGCAGCAGGTGAAGAGCAAGCGTTGCCATGAATATCTGAGCAACAACGCCCAGAGCAGGGGTCACATCCTGCAGCTCAGTCTGTGAGCCAGAGGCCTTCCCATGGGCGTGGAAGGTGCCTCAGAGCAAGCTCTGCAGTCAAAGAGTGGGGAACTGGACGAATTCACATTGTGTTTCTATTTGGTATATTAGCTAACAAGAACAAGGAAACTCCAAAAAAAAGACACATCAGTTTGGATAATTTTCTTTTTAAATACAGAATATAGTATGACTTGAAATAACCTCACACTTCCCCCAAATAATTGTATTTCTTTGCAAAAGTGTCAACATAATCCAGATTTGTAATATATTTCTAACTATTTTCAAATAAAATTCATAAGATGTTTTGTGTTTTTTAATCTAAAACTCAGTTTTCACAAAGGAAATAATCTTATTTTAAACAGACAAATAGATAGATACATAGATAAATGAAGTCACGTGTTTAACTTCCATCCAAATAATTTAGTCCATTCTTACCTGTTCCTGTTTTGTAAACATAAATCCACAGGGAATACCAAGTTGATCCCACTGAATTACAATTACGGTTCTGAAAGCATAGAGGAAAAGCACGCTCCTTTTTTGCTTTCAAAGGATAACACAAAAAAAAAATCAACTTGCCTACTGCATGCCAGAATAAATAATCTTTTAGAAGTGCAAGCAGTTGTTTCCTTTAGCCGCCTTTATTCAGCTGCAATCTCTGCCAAAGTTTGTTTTGATCTAACCAAAGCTACAGAGCAGGTAAGACCAAGACCAGACCTGTACGGCTAATGTGAGCAATTAGGAGTTTTAGGTGAACAGTGCAAAATGTATTCACATGCATTTGATCAAATTATTAAACAACGCTGCCACCCTTTTCATGTTCATTTTTTGTAACCATGCTACACAGCACGTTGACTGGCAGAAGCATTCACAAAAAGAAGCATAATCATGGAGTGTTCCTCCTGATTTCACTCATCTCAACATTCATACTGGAAACTGAGTTCAAAAAGACACATCCTACAAACAGCAACAGGAGGGTAGCATGTGCCCTGTCCATCTAAGCAAAACAAATGGATGTATTTCAACTTTCAAAAGTCACCACCACTACTGGCAAGACGCAGAGCAAAAATATTTCTGAATAATAAGCAATTTATGATTTGGATGGAAGTTAACCATGTGACTTTATTTATTCATTTATTTTAAGTAAGATTATTATTTTCTTGTCAATAATTGCAAGCTATTTGGAAGGATCCACAAAAACCCCAGAAAAGGTTAAAATCATCAGCAGTCTGTCTACCCAATACTCATAGAGGAAACTCTTATGCTGCATAATCATCTGAGTGGGGTGAAAAACAAGCATGCAGAGAACTGTTTATACAAAAGCAGCTGAAGAATCAAAATATTTTCACAGTCACCTATACTAACAATAGTAAAACACGTAGTATAGAATAACATAATCTCGAGCTAAGATAGGCATGGAAGCAACAAACTTCTGTACAAGGTGCCAGGTGATCAAGACCTTAACATGTGCAAAAAAAATAAGATAAAAAAAATCCCTAAAACTTTGTGGAAAACATAACTAAGTGAAAAGTGAAGAGTAATAAAATTCTCCTGCTTTTTTCAGGGCGTGAAATGAAGTCTCCAAGCAAGTGTAAAAGGCAAACCTTGTGCTAGGAATTGATGTCCTGTGCACTGTGCTTTGGAGGGTTTTGTCATCATATGAGAAGAGGAACAAACGAACCACAAGAATATCCAAAGGAGGCTCAAGGGTGCAAAGAGAACAGAGGAGCTGTAAGAAAGATTTACCTATGTGATATGGTCCACAGCCCAACACCATCACTCCACAGTCATCAAATTTTACGTCGTGTTCCTGAGAAGGGAGGGAGAAAAATCATCAGGATCTGTATTCCACAGAACTCCATGCTTTTCAGAATAAACAGTTTCTGGTGCCAGCCCATATCCAACAGTCTGATCCCTCAAGGCTGCAGTCTGATCTCATTCACTGCAGTGTAAATCAAGTGCAACTCTACTGGAACTAGTGGTGCTGCACTCAATCCAAAGGAGACACAGCACCTCTGATCTGGCTGTTGGAGCAGCCTAAGGAGCTGTTAAGTTTCACATAAAAATGAATGCTAGAATGAGTGAAACATGAGCTCTGCATTCCCAGCACTTGACCCAATTGGAGAGGATGCAAATACAGGTGATGCAAGACAGGATCAAAACAACATAAAGGCATTAACACCAAGTGCACTGGATCAGTATTTGAGCAAGAGAAAGTTCCAGGCCTGCTATAAGAAAGTCATGCGTAACACTATCCAAAATAATTGCTACAGAGACAAACACGTGCAAGACCTCCAGAAATAATGCAGCACAGGGGAAAGAGATCAAACTAGACAGCAGTGAGACTGGTGTTTCTGAATGCGCCTACCTGCCCGTTGTATGTGACATAGAGGTAATTAGTTACTGCTGGGTATTCTGCTGCCAGCGTGTCGATCTGTACAGGGAAGAAGAGAAGAGATTGTGACTTGGTGAGTGCAAGATCTTTCTTACACCCAGGTATTTCGGGATTTTTTTTTCCCTCTTCCCTTTTCTGCTCCTATTTCCCTCCTATTATTTTCCCATCGTGGCTTTCGGCAAAAGGCAGTGATCTGAACTGTGGTATGTGCTTGCAACACAGCAGATGCCTGGCTTTCCCCCATATCCTAGAAATTAGCCAAGAGGACAGTCTACCATCTCTTTCTAAGCTGCAGTTTTAGCTCCGCATCTCTGCTAAAACACCTTGACTCTTCCCATCCATCCCTCCTTGCCAAGGCCCTCGTTCTCCCGTTTTCTTGGCAGCATTAATCACACAAATCTCCATTCCCCCAAGTCTCCTGTCTCTTTAGCTGCACCACCTGGGATCTTCACACTATAGTCTTGTCTCACTTCTGCACTGAACACAAACATGCACACAATAGCACTTTAAGATCATGCCAAGTAGCAGACCCCAGTGCTACTATTACGTAGTTATGCTACAGTAAAACTTGTGCTTTGCTAATTAAGTGGCACGCAAAGCAAGAGTGTTTTTTCAGCCACCCCTTATATGCAGTTTTCTACACACTCTTATATAATTAGTCACCAGAGGAGAGTAATTTGCCTACTAGGCTGTTCACAAACTACTTGTGCCCACTACTTCTTGCATGTTATACATGGTTACTTGTCCATCTAGGTCACCGGTGATAGCTGAAGTTCCCAGAATGAACAGCTAAAACATTTCTGCACAGAATACTAAACAGGGAACAATATTGAAGCAGTCCTGACATGAATTTTTGCATGCTATACCATTTAAAAATCTGTCCAATCTTTAAGTATTTTCAGGAATCCCCCACTGGCTGTCCAAATCCTTGTGAGTAATGAAGAAAGTGACCTTACGTCATTAGCGCTCTGTAAGTGTCTGCTGCTCATTACCGTTGCTAATGGTGCAACTTGTACTTCATAGCTCAAGAAGAAACATATGCTTTGAAGCCACAAATGCAAGTGTAAGTAGAATGACCTTATTAAGGGTACCTTGGCACACAAATCAATCCAGCACCGCAATGCCATATGCAGCTGAGAGAACGCAGTGCATGACCAGGCACGTTTTTGTGGGCCAGGTGAGGACACACAAGGAAAACAGCAGCTGGGAAACAGAAGGAGATTTGGCACCTGGAAATGGGCCTGAGGATACAGATGGGCTCTTTCAGAAACACTCGGTAGTTTGGGTTGGGTATTTTTTTTTTCCCCTTTAAAGACGAAAAAAACAGCTGGTGGCAGTTTAATGCCAACATACCTTAAATGCAGCAGCAGAACACCTAGCAAAGCACTCATGACACTGCCATGAATATCAGATAAGCTCATTACACTCGTGCTATCACAATGAATAGCAAATGAACCCATAATAATAGCACACTTCAAATAAAGTATTACCCTGTAAAAAGTTATTACCAAGAAAAAAGACATATTACACTTTTCATGGTCACACTATGGTGGGCCAGCATTCTCAGCCTTTTCCTGAAGCCAGATAGCTGACTTTCCCCCTCAGTCACACAGAATATGAACAAGAATATTCCGTGTCTCTCTACATTGAAGGCTGCTGTGCAGAAGCAACAGCTACATGGGTGAAATTTGTTCTCTAATGTCAAACTCCCATGGATATTAACAGCATCAGGGATTCCATCTAAGGACATGGAGATCTCCTGCTTCTTGTACCCTTGAAAGTCCTCACTATGAACAGCAATGTTTCTCACGTACCTGTTTCACCCAGGGCACTATATTCTTCCTCAGTCTCAGCTGCCGGCACTGGACTTCAGTCAGTCCCAAGCACTTCCCAATTTGTTTGTCTGAGAATCCCATCTTTTTGGCTCTCCTCAGTATCTCTTCTGGAACTGTTTCACTGGGAGTAAATAAGAAAAACACCTCTCATGAGGTTTTACATGAATACTTAGAAGTTATAAGTGTTTGTGCCTTCCATACTGCATACAGTTGCTGTAGGATCATGCATATAATGGCAAGAAAAGAAAGAAGATCCAGCTAAGCCACGCAATCCTCATACGTTAAAAAGAATAAATAAATCTTTATTCTACTGGATGCCCCACACAATTGCCTGTAAGGTAAAGTCTACAGACAGACTGCTGATGCTAGGAAGTGAAACACTTTCTTTCCTTGCATTTTTGAGACAGGAAAGATTGACTTGTGATGAGATCCATCATCTCCCAGGCAGCATTCTCCACCAGGCAAGCACAAGCTCACTGTAACTGAAACTGTATGGTCATTTACTATTACAGAGGATCTGCAGTGATTCTTTCCTTGGACTCAGTATCCCCACATCTCCACGCCCAAACTCTAACTCAATCTCTCCCTTACATTCCTCCTCCCAGCCTAAATGTTAAAATACAGGCCTCACCAGGCTGGGCTGAATCAATAATTACATACGTATTCGCATTTCCTGCCTCTCACGGCATCTGCCCACTCCACACAACAGCATGAAATTCCTGAAGCTCTGGGATGAACCATGCGGAGGCATAAACAAGCCTCAACCCTGCTGAGCTAGGGGACGACTAGCCTCAAAACATTACAGGTTGTCCCAAACAAGTCCTTCTTTCTGCTCTTGAGAATGCTCTGTCTACCTTCAGAAATGGTCAGTCTTTTGAAAAAGCATCCACCCCCTACCATAGTAGAAATGACCTTCAGAGGCTAACACACAAGGCAAGTTTTTCCACTGACAGTCCCCAGTATAATTTTTTCTGTAGCACTTGTGCTGCTTCTCACATTATGAAAACAGAGAGAAGGAATAGACAAGGTAAAGCAGGAGTATCTTCTTTGATTTCATATTTGCAATCAGGGTCTCAATATTTCTACACATTTGTTCTCCTGCGTTTGCTTTTCAGGAGTCCTGGTTTTTGCTGTTTATTTCAAACACCTTGCTTTCCTTGGCCGTCTCTGCAACTCAACAGTTTCTTGCCCATTTTGCTTTCGATTTTTTCATCTTCTCCACTCCACCTTTATTCCCTTGACTTTTTTCTCTCCCACACTATCTCTGTTCCACTTTCTTTTGACTCCACCTATAGCCCTTATAGTTTCTGCCTGTTTCTGTTTCTAAGCTACCTTTTCTAAGCTTAGCTTTTGGAAAAACATAAAAAAGCCTACGTATTTTTATCAGCACTTCTGCTTTTCATCTTCATTGCCAAGAGCATCCTTGCCTGCCCAATAAATCAATATTTTATGAGCAAGCAAGCTCTGAATCAGGAAAAAGGAAATGATTAACAAACAAGCAATTTTCCTAAATCAGAGCTTTTGAATTACGCCCTTTGCTTGATGGTATTTTTAAATAAATAGCATTATGTTATTTGAGTGAGAAGAGAGGGGTAAGGCCGCTTTATTGGAATGTGTCAGGAAGCTGAAGCATGAAAGAGAATCATTGGATTGGATTTTCTGCTCTGGCTTAGGCACAGAGCAGCTCTGACACCTTTGTTAAAACCAGGCTACCATAAACCAGGTGAGAGTCACAGAATTGTCAAAGCAGCTGTTTTTAGAGCAAAACTGGGGACCAGAAACTTTTGGGTTCAGATCCCTGGGTATATGGGTTTTTCTCTCTGAATTCCTCAACGCGACTTCTCCTTTCCCTGCAACATGAGAAGAGAGTCCTCCACCTGGCTACAATAGCATAGCAGATAGCTAGGGAGCATTTGCAGAAGACACTCTCCGAAACGGCTGTGCTCTGCCCCGTGTCCCAGCCTGGCACTAACAACCAGCCTGCTCTGCCCTCAGGAGGCTCCAGGCACAAGCATCACCAAACCCCTTAACTTCTACCCTTGATCTTCTTCACTATGAGGATGGTGAGACACTGGAACAGCTTGCCCTGAGAAGTTGTAGATGTCCCCTCCCCAGAAGCGTCCAAGTCCAATTCGGACAGGGCTTTGAGCAACCCGGTCTAGTGGAAGGTGTTCCTACCCATGGCAGGAGGGGTGGAAATAGATGATCTTTAAGGTGCCTTCCAAATCACGCCATTCTATGATTCTCCACCACATCACCTTTCTCACTCCAGCAGATCCCGTTTTTTGCTAGTGTCAGAAGGAAACAGTCTGTATACTCCAGCAGGCTGAGCTTCCCAGGTTTTTGATTTAGTTCTGGCTGCAGACAGACTTTGCAAAATAAGATCAGCTTTGCAGTGCCACAGTACGTTAAAGCCTGAGGTTTCCATGCACTAGTGCCTCCGCCACAAAACTCCTCTGCTTCTCCTCAGCCTTTTCTACTTTCTAGTCCCAGCTTAGAGGCAGGATGTCTTGCATAAACCATGAATGCCAGAACAGAAGGCATGGATGGGTGTTTTAAAAGAGGAAACAAAGTGAAATCCACCAGTTCTCTAGTGAAACAGATGCTAGTCATCACTGGCTATTAAGAAGAACTCAGCCAAATTAGATTCTCTCCAAGATTCAGCATTCCCTAAGTATGAGTGAGCAGACCTGATGACCCCAAGAAAATGAGCCTGTTTCGGTACAGTGTACTTCCTTGCTCTCCCTCCCTTCTGCCTCAGAAACACACATAGTCGGCTTTCATTTGATTACTGACAGAGAAAGAAAATTGCTTTCATTTGCAGCTTATTTCAGTATTTCATTATAACAATATCATTCATCGTCATCCCCCCAGCAGGGTGGGTAGAAGAGAAGCAGTGATTATTTGGCAACATGATTCATTTGTCTGGGGCTAGCAGCTTAAACTTACTAATCCGTGCAAAAATGTGACCAGCTCTGTACAGGACAAGAAGCACTGAAAAGAAAAGCTGAGTACCTAAAGGGAAAATGAAACCATGCATTTTTTCCTCTGCTACTCTCAATGCATGATAAATAAAAGATAAGAGACGTAGCTTTCAACACAGCTAATGAAAAAGATGCGGCGGGAACCTCTATTGAAGCAGCACCTAGACAGGAAGGGTTTTCTCATTTCTCACTGCCATGGAGGCAACTTAACATGGAGGAAACACATCCAGCCCAGCACGAGGCAGGAAAGGTTAGAACTGACAGCCCGGCCCCGGGGATGTAACAGTTTTGCCATTTAATATTGTCACAGAAAATCAGCAAGAGTCAAACACCCAGCAGCGCTGCTTTCCAAGCACTTAAAACCAGAATCTGCCACGAGATGAGAAATTGCCAAAAGACTCTGTGATGGCCCCCAGGGATTTGGAGGCACAGCCAGAAGGAGCAGAAACATCAAGCCAGCAGAATTGCTTCACCATGTTTAAAGGGAACTGGATCAGAGAACTTCAAACCTTTGGCACTGGTATGGAAATCAGGCTGCCCCTCTGCATGCACTGGGCACACATCTTTATACCTGGATAATTTCCACTTATTAGTGAGGGCAATTTTTAGCACTTATATCTCAACTTCTATGGTGGCAAGAATATACAGAAATACGCCAAGAGTATGGTAGAAAGATGCTTATCTTACAGATAGCAAAACTGAGACACATAGAGGTTAAGGGATGATGGTTTTTAAAATGCAGCATTCCCACTACCTCTGCTCAAAGACAGCCCTTTAGACTTGCTGGAGACACTAAAGCCAGCAAGAGCAGAATCAGGCTGATCTCTTTGAATGCTTGAGTGCAAATAACCCTTTCAAGAGCTCCCCAGAAATCTAGCACTGAAAAAAAAGAAAAAAAATATACTCAGTTTTGGCTATTCCCAAACACATGACTCAGTCCTACATCACTGCCTCCCACTTTCCCCTGAAGCATCACTTACTTTTCAGAGAGCAAAAAGTCTCCCAAAGATTAAAGCCCCTCATTGGTTTAGAATCAATTCTGAAACAAGGCAAGATTAAGTGGCTGTGATTCCAGACTCTATAACATTCCTTTTTCCCAACATTCGCCTTTGCAAAATGACAGTCAGAAGTTTCAAAACCGTAGATTTTCAACTGTAGAATTTCAAAACCGTACGATTAGAATTCTCCACACTGCCATAATCATTTAGTAGCTGTTCAGTTCCTCAGAAAGGTGAAGTCCCCTGCACGTTTCCCAGTTTATAAACAACACAAGCATTTCCCAAACCTTGCTTGTGCTTCCGTTTCATCTTCCAGTGTTGATTTGTTGTTGCTTTTTTTGTTTAAAATTTCACCCTGTCATCTTCGGAACTCCATCCACTCACTTCTTCAATAATAAACGATAAAAGGAAATGGAATAAATTCCCCTTAATGAGGAAATTTTCACCTGGCACAGAGGACCTGGGGAAACCTATTAACTGACTGGAGGAACGCTGGCAGCATTGCAATTATCGGGAGAGCCTGCTTGCTTCAGCACAGCCCTCTCTTCCACTTGACCAGCTTTCATCTGATTCATCAGTTTAGGAATAATGCTAAATAAACGTGCTTGCAGAAAACCCCAGCTTCATATGGAAAGAAGCACTCTTCTTCTTGTCTTCCAAATCAGGCTCTGATTCCCTTTAAGTATGTTGTCAAGTTTACAGCCATCCACATATTACTTAGGTGTTTGTTAATGGGTCTTGACGAGAAGGATGAGGAATGTTTTGTGAACTGAGGGCCAAAGCTGGGGCTGGGAGCACTTGGGACACAGCTATTGCATCCGTTAATGAAAGCAAGGAGTGCTGGAACCAACACACTTAATGGCCAGGTCTGAGAGCTCTTCCTTTCTCAACAGTCATAGAGCTGGAGGGTTTCAAAAGCATATTTGATTCCAGGCTGGATTATGTACAAAGACAGATTCTTCCTCTTTTCTTCATTGTCCTTTTCTGCTTCAAGGCTCCTTGTGGCTTCCTTGATTGCTCCTGATGTTTTACAAGATTTTGAACATGCTACAATTAAAATAATGAGATCGGTGTATAAATTCTCTCCCTGCTCCTTGTCTCAAGGAGACAGATTGTTACCAGTTTTCCCCTCCTGAGAA